CAGTGTAGAGTCTGGCACAGATGTAGGTTGGCTCAAGTTGCCAAACTACTTTATGATAGGACAAGAGGTAACTAACATAGTGTATGGAGAAAGAGATTGGAATAATGTATTAGCTTGTAGCTCTTCTAGGGTTACCGCCAGTACGGAGACCTGGTAAAGGAGGAGGGTTGGGCAAGGGTCAGCAACCCCATCCCGTAGAAAACAACATTGCTAAAAAAACGCTGACCATAATAAACAAATTGGACCATTTGAACTCTGCCCTCCGAGTTGAAGAGTCTTCATTCAGAAGAACTATGACGCCTCATGGTGAAAGCCGAGATTCTTCGGAAATTACTAGACCTATGCCACTTCTAACAACCAGAGCAACAATTAATGTCGGTACATGGGATGTTCGAACAATGTAGATCGATCAAATAGCTACACTACTACTACCTACAATACTACTACTACAACTAGACTACTACTACTACTACTACTACTACTACTACTACTACTACGACTACTACTACTGTAGTGATCAAATACCAGTTGGAATCGAATGTATTTTTACACTAAATTACAGAGCATCTCAATAAAATCTGAGGCCCATATAGTAAATCATTAATTTGCAGAATATCAATCCATCATCTCAAACTTTCACTGTTTTTGTTGCACAAATCAATCCATTGTCTCAGATTTCATTGTTCATACGTTTTTATAGCAATCTGCGTTGCGTTCCCGTTCTTTCCTCATAGACGTTTTACTTAAATACATTCTATGCTTGACCACTGTCATATACTACTTGTGTGGATCCAAGTAACCCACCCACACTACCATGCCAGTAGGTAGGTTAAAGACCGATAAGACTAATAGCACTAATCGTATTGTTGATTGATGATTTGTAATGAGGTTTCATTAAATTAAGTTATTTCTCCTCGAAAATCAACTCCACCAATAATGCACATCCATAACGGAAGGAATGAGCTTAAAACAGCCAGATCTTAAAACTCTGAAACAATTTCTTGCCAACGGTTGTAAATTCCCCTAGAACAGCTCTAATAGTACAAAGTTAATACATCAAAAAGCTACATACACAAAATCATCTTTGACTGGGTATTTAGTTGATACTGTGCATTTTGTTGACATTTCGTAATCCTTCAATTATTAGCAAAAAAAATTACTCAGAATCACTTAGGTTTGACAAAGTGTAAGCGATTAAAATATCAAGCCAGATTTATGTGTCCAAAAGAGACGGTAATTAATTTTTTATCACATTGGTAAATCCATCATTTTGTTTATATTTACCTGCCACTATTACTATTGTTATTACTATTTTGTAGTCAGTATAGGGGTGTGGATACTGTTGAAAGTCATTGAAATCATTAAACGAACCATTTTAGATCTCCATTAAAAACCTAGAAGCACCGGGAGGCCGTTTCCTCCTGATATTGGACTTTAAAGCATTGCTCACCCAAAATCCGACATGCTGGAACCAAACCCATCACCGTTAGACTTGTGTGTCAACGTACAACATCCAGACCACCGATCTGCGATCCAATGTTGCACAGCTCTGATAATCTTCAATTGTTTTTGGTGAGTAATTGTCTCACATCCGTTATGGTTTAGCTCCACTGGTCATGACAGTTATAGCAGTTACCTACCAAAGACAATGCAAGATTGTCACGCAATACAGGGGATTGATTAAAGTTAGACATTAACACTATTAGGTGCCGGCTCAGGTGTCTATATTTCAGACAGCGGTGTACAAGACTGAAGGTGTTAGGTTCGATTCCTGAGTGAGTGATATTGGGTGCACACTGCTGTAGTGTCACTTACTAGAACGAAACGGCCGTCCAGTGCTTCTTTGTTTTTTGATAATGACCTAAATCAAATCGGTTCAAGATTTTAACGTTAGTATCTTATAATTTTGTTTAGTTTATTGTGCAAACTTCAATAAGCTAAATGTCATTTCAAGTACATTTAAATCGGTCATTCTTCCTTTTGTTTTTGATTCACCCGGTTCTCTAAAATTATATAAACTCCTCAAGTCTGGCATAATTATTACGTAGGCCATTTGATTAATTTCATATTTGAATAATTATCACTTCATTACTCTTTATCTTCTATTTACCGAGTGAACTGAAACTTATGTAAACTCATCAAATCTCACATAATTATCACAAAATCCATCTTACCAGTTTTCAGACTCTATATGATTACCACTTCATTATTGATAATGTTTATCATTTTAGTTCTATCCATCATTAATGTCGATTACCTCATACTCTATCATAGCTCAATGTTACATTTCAATACATATATGGCTGTTATTCTGCCTCAATTATTGTTCTGGCTTTATTCAACTTCGCAAAGACAACTAACTGTAAGAAATGAAGAGGGTTATTTATTTACACTGATTTAAACTATTATTAAAAATATATATTATAGGGCATTATTTTATCAAAACGATTATGAAAATTCTTCCTTGAACGAGCTGATTATGATGGTGTTTTCATTGTGCACGACCAAATCATCTAGCTCACAGAACAAAACTCCATCAAAATCATCCACCTGAGCTACAAATCTTCTGCACCATCTCGTAAGCTGAATATGATTTTTATTCAATGAAAATGTTTAGTTTACATTAAATGACTATTTCTTGATAATATTTGGTGACCATATTCATTCAGTTTTGTTGCATCGAACTAAGATTAAAATACTTTGATAAATAATTGAATAGATGAATATCAGAACAGTTTTGATTGATTAAAAGAATATGTCGTTTATTATATTAGTTTTAATGAAGATAATATCTCTCTTAAACAGTTATTCTTCAAAATATTTTATCAATAAAATATTATTTTGATAGTTGAATTCATGAATCGACTGAAGCTAGACCACCATGGAAAACCTGGGAACACTGGACGGCCGTTTCGTCCCAGTATGATACTCTTCAGCAACGCGCATCCAAGATTCCGCTTCACGGGTTTCAAACACATAACCTTCGGTCTCGCACGCGAATGCTTAACCTTTAGACCATTGAGCTGGTATCCATTTGGTTATAAATACAGTATTCCATATACATTTTTTTATCTCAGAGTTCTTTAAGTAATGAAGGGATAACTGAAACATCAGTTTATTTTTGTAAACAAATATGACCAACGGTAACCAGTTAAAATCACTTAACTTAATCTTTCGTTGTTCAAATTGTTTCAGTTAAAGTTTTCATTGCAAGGTGAACTCAAAACAACTTCAGTAGTTTGAATATGTGCTCATATTTTAATTCTTTAACGAAAAGAAAACAATTACACTTTTGTTAGATAGATGTAAGAAGTCATAGAATTGTAGTATGGAACCTTGTTTAGCATAAATATTATGTAATAATCTTAGATTAATGATCGATAATAGTTGTTGTATATGGAAATCAAAACAACCGTCAACCTATATCAAAGTGAGAATCTTCAATACCATCGTCAGCACAGTCCTACTGTATGGAGCTGAAACTTTGAGAACTATCACGAACTTCATCAAAAACGCACAACTATTTATAAACAATTGTCTACAAAATATACCATATGCAACAGCCTACTGTGGACTAGGACAAACCAGCTTCCAACTGACAAAAAAATTGGAAGTGGATTAGACACATATTGGGGAAATCATCAAATTGCATCACGATGACAATGTCAACTTGAAATCTTGAATGGAAACAAAAAAGTGGAAGGTCAAAGAAAACACTACGTCAAGAATAGAAAGCAAACATGAAAAAGATGAATAGAAATTGGAAAGAATTGTAAACGATTACCGAGGACAGAGTTTATCATTTAAAAAAGAACTATACACTGAAAAGAAAGAAATTATGGTATTTTGTAATATTTTGTTCCCAAGTATTCTTCATTACAACTAAATGTGATTAATATGACATAATTTCAACAGTTGAGATCACGAGTCAATTGAAGCTAGACCAACATGGAAAACTTGGAAGTACTGGACGGCCGTTTCGTCCTATTGTAGGACTCCTCAGCAGTGCACATACACGACCCGGCCCTGCGGGATTCGAACCTAGGACCTATCAGTCTCGCGCCAGGTGCCAATCAACATATGCTCACTAGTCACTGGCTTCAAGAGATATATCCTGGAGTTCTAGTGAGAAGCAGTGACTAGTGGAGTTCAACCGGGTCAGTTGTGAGGTAGTAACTCACTGATGACAGTGGTGGATATGTGGCTCAATTTCGTGGATTGATTGAAGTTAGACATTAACACCGTTGGATGCGGCCAGCACAGTGGTCTAGTTGGTCAAGCTTTCGCGTGCGAGATTGATAGGTCCTGGGTTCGAATCCCTCGTGGCGCGATCGTGGATGGGCACTGCTGAGGAGTCCCACAATAGGACGGAACGGCTTTCCAGTGCTTCCAGGTTTTCCATGTTGGTCTAGCTTCAATTGACTCATGATCTCGACTGTTGAAATTACTACAATCTCCACAAAACTCCTACTGATACTAATATGACATACTTAATAATTTATGACTATTTTGTTTTTGTAAAAAAATTGAATAAAATCTAATCTTATATGATTGAAGTGAAACACTCCATATCCTGAATTAATAATCTAGACAATACAAATGGTTTAAGGGAGTTAATTATATTTCAATTAATAAACAACCAATTAAAAAATAAACAAATCAAATATCCCATTTAAATTATACAAATAATTGCTATAATCTGATTGGCTATTTATTAACCAATGAATTATTTCTATTTTGTTTAAATTCAATTGAATATTAGTTTAGTTGTTATGATGAGAAAAATATTGCCTTGGATACAATAATTTACAAATTTACATTATCCTATTCATACATCAGAAGTATTTCATTATGTAATCATGTTTCTACTATTAATTATTCTGTAAAATAAAAATTAAAAAAACAAACAAACATTTTTTTAAAAAATGCGATAAACTTAGACGAGTTCAGTGGAATATGATTACGTAATGAGATTATTGTTTTTCATTGTGATTATTAATATGATATTTACTATTAAAAGTAATCAACTTTCTGATCCAAGTAAGTCTATGTAAACATGTAAAAATGTTTAAATATTCAAGAGGGTGTATTAATATTATTAGTATGTTTATTTAGTAAAGTTTGATCTTGTTACTGACCAGAGACTGTTCAGTTTTCAACAACAAAAAGTTTTATAGGTATTGATAGATGATGTCTAACAGTGGAGTATAAGACACGCGTTTTATCATATTCGGGACTCATCAACTCCATGTACTTGCATCCCAGAGTTGATGTTCACTTCATGACTCAAACCTAGTACCATTCGTTTCAAAAACCATTGCATTGTCTATTTAGCTACTTAGTCCTAATAGCTAGTAGCTTGTGCAATGGGATGAAATTTTATTTTACTTTCGTATTATGTGTTTGAATCTTCCCTTTGATGTTTAGAATTGTAATTGATTTTGATTGTGCACTTTTGTCAATAAGAGATTAATTAATCTTAGTCCTAAACATCAATAGGAAAATTTGAACAAACAATACAATAATGAAGAAAGTATTCTATTTTTATGATTTGTTCTAGTTTACTTTAGATATTTGATTATGATGTTAATATATCCATATGTTTTTATGACAAGCTTATAACTTATTAAGATGCTGTGGTGGACCAAAAAGTAAATTAACCGAAAAACATCAATAAAGTTATTACGTCCAAAAGTTAATGTGGCAATAAACATCACATAAGATAATAACACAAATAAAAGTTTAGGGACGTTACTTAAACTTGCAGGTTGGTGCGTGTCTTGTTGGTTTTGGTACCAGAATCCACAATTATAGGTAAATAATAATTCCAATGAGACAATATGGATCCAGTAGTATATCCGAACGTAGAAAGTAATTTGAAGGTTACAACATTCTATAAATATAAATGATAGTTAATTAATCGTTCCGTTATCATATCCACAAACATGATAGAACGAGAGACATATGTATAAAATTGTATTTAATTATGAGCAGTTAACAATGTCATGCTATGTGGGATTCGAAAATGGAAGGAAGAATGTAAGTATTCAAGGTCATATACTTAAACAACAAGTGCAATCGATTAATGATAAATGTACAGATTGTGAGAATTGGCAAAATAAATGCAAAAGATATCAAAAACTATTTACAAAATAGGTTTATTACGTCTATCTCCACAATGCTAATAACTGAGAAAAAACCAAGAGAAGAGCGCATAGTAATTAATGTATCTTATTCCGTACCAGTTCAATGGGGAGGCTAAAGGTTGTGAGATTGTAATTCATACCTGAAGCAGTTTAGAAATCTATGATTGTTTAAAACATTTGTTGATGCTTTCAAATATGCTAAATAAATGTTGAAGTGGAATGTATTATACAATTTTCTATTTTATACTGAAAGCGCCTACTTGTAATCAAGTATATACTTGAGACTATTTAATATAATAGAGTAGTTAAAAAATTATAGAAAAATGTTTCCATTCATTTGAAAGTTATTCATCTATTTGGAGTTGGTGTGAATTACCTGACAAGTATGGAATCATGTATCCTCCTTTGATGTATATTGTTTGTTTGAGAACTAGAGATATTAATGAGCTAATGAAACTGGGATTTAAACTTTGAACCAACTAGTTAACAGTCAAGTTTTATAATAGCTAAACCAACAACCTACAACTTATATCTTTTATGCTATATAACCAAATATTTTGCCTTAAAAATGAATTGCAAATATTGAATGTTTTAATCTTCTGTGTTATAATGGGGCATACATAAATTTATCAGTTTAGTGCTTGATGGATTAAAAACTAGTGAAACACAGTTAAGTCATCATATAATCGACATTCTGTTTGTCTATGCCTGTGATATTAAGAAATACAATGCAGTTTGTTATTGTGACTACTCCCCTAGATATTTGATCGCTCTATCAGTACAGTAGATTAATAAATTAAATGTCATCATCTTTGTAAGATCAATCAAAACACGAATGACTCAGTAGCAACGCCTATAACTGAGACATTGGGTGTTTTTAATTTGTATTCTACAGAAAGCATTATTTCTCACCGGACTACAGATATTCCTTACTGACAAGTACCAACTAATATGAACCTTAGGTTCAGTGCTTCCTTATTGTGACCTCCCATTGCATAACTTCATATTACTTAGTATGATAACACAGTAACAATAGATAAGGTCGTCTGTTACTCAGGATTTTTCATAACTATTCACATCTATATTTCTATTGATTCTTTAGTTGCATTCCTTTTTTTTTTGAATAGAACAAATTCCTCTGATGAATTCATCTCAAAGCGAAACCCAATATTAAACGTTTTCTTTAGGATGCATTTCCCCGGAACCATTAGATGTAGTATCTGCAATACAGTCTATTCAATAAACATGATAGACTGTTACAAGTTCATAAGTCATTGAGACTACTAATAACATCATATCAACAGTTTACTACATGAAAATACGTTTTATTAAAAACCGATAATTTGCTATGCCCAATTCTTTCTTCAAAAATTTAATTATCTTTTTTGGAGCAAAAAACATAGGATGATTAATTACTTTAAGTCTATTTTTTTTTATCCAAAGAATAAGACATTCAGTTTCCGAAAATTGATCATTGGGATATAGATGATAAACTATAGTTTTACTTGATTAGACAGTATGCTGTTAGATTATAATTAAGATATCTACCATATTATAACTTTATAATTCCATAATTACTCCATATAAAAGATACTTTGGAAACAAAGCTAAATGATTATTTTATTTCATTTCAGTCACATCTCCAAGTCATTAATTGCGATATGATTTTAGCAATGATAACTAAATCATTTGAATTACTCTGTATAGTTTATACTAAAGGTATGAGTAGAATGAAAGAACATGAATATATTAGTGCATTATCAAGCTATATAAGTTTTATTGTTTATAAAGATACTAAGCTGTTGATTGTGTTATGTTCTCTGAACTAGACTGATTGACCGTGAATTTTTCTAACCGTTTTGAACTATAGTATCAGCCTTACCCTATCTCATTTACGAGTGAAATGTTTGTTATGTTTTAACACACAAATATTTTTTTCAGGTGGTGTAAAATCACTTCATACATAAGTACAGAGAAAAAAGTACGAAGAGTAATATTTTTTCTGAACGATTACTACTACAGTATACATCAAATAGGTTCAACTTATGGTTACAGTACAATTTCCAGTAACTAAGACGTTTAAATAACATGTAAACTTAATAATTAAGGTAACCAGTGGCAATGTCTGTCATTTAACAAGTCTATGTGTTGTGTCAGAAAAAAAGAGAAAAAAACGCTGAGCACTTATAGTCGGAACGAGGGACCTCGGCAATTCCCACGATGCGAAGGTAAGAACACAAAGACTAGTATAAGTGAAGGCTTATTAGCCACAAAACACTATGACGACGACGAATCGAATCTAGTCGAAAATACACTGGTTTATATTATTGATTGTACACCCATTTTCATTAATAATTAGGATTACATCACATACTCAGTTATAACAAATCACTTACTAAGCATAGTTCATGTCAAGTGAATGCAAGAATATCGTATATTATACAGAAGAAAATATCATACTAGAGAAACAATCAAATACTACACTGAATGATCCTCACGTTGAATCAAAACGGATGTAACGTTGAATAAAACTCATAATGAGTTCTTTCCATCATATCCAGCCATAATTAATCTACTGGGTATAACTCGGGTCCTAACGCTATGTAAACATGTATCTATGTTTAACATAGACTCCTAATAAATAAACATCTATAACATCCAAGTTTTATCGAATTTTTCTGACAGTTTTTGCTACTTGAGAAAATGCCTTCAAGGAGGTGATTTTCTCTATCAATTAAGTAAAATTGTAAACATGAAATTGACTTCCGTTAGAGAATAATCTGTATATTGTTGATTTAATCACATGACTGAGATATTCATTTGGAAAATAATTAGTTTTGTACGGGATCTGATTGCCTTAATTAGGTTTGGTTTACTTTTTGAGTTTACACAAAGAAAATTTATCCCATTGCCTTATACCTCGAAAGCTGCACTTTTCACTGAACTAGTTAATGAGGTTACATTATAGAATATCATGTTATTTTATTTCATTAAAAACAGCATTACATATATTGTAAATAATTTACAAGTATTGTAGTGAAGGAGAACATAGGTAAGGACAAGCCATTACATTTATCACAAACTTACCGAGTTACTTGGTAAAATAGAAAAATCCTACTCCAATACATCATTTGTAAAATGTTCATTAATTATCTCAAACTTCATTGTTCTTGCATTTTCGTACCAGTTACTTTCTGTTCCCATTCTTCCCTCCTCAATTTTCTCAACTTTCTACTACCAGATATTCTATTGCTGACTAGTGTTATATACTACTTATGTCGACATGAGTAGCACACACCACAATATCTTTTTTCTATATTAACTAACTTATTTTCATACTTCATGTGATATCCCGATGAGAATAATGAAGGGTAACCGTTGAAATCTATTTCTGGACAAATACTATACGTATATTTTATTGTATAATTGTTAAGTAGCTAAACTATTCACATTCGTGTTCCTCTTATTATGAGGATTATTTTGACCTATGAACTATTATTTTACGATTTGCCATTCTTGAATTCTGCCAAGTTTATTAATTACAGTCTACCACATTCACAGCCACTTTTGGTTAGATCTTGTACAAATGTTATTTTCTATTTCATAGTACGATGTGGTCCGTTTGTTTTGTATATAAACCCAGTATGTTTGAAATATATGATTCATATCGCAGAGGCTAAAATTGATATTCTGAACTTAACAGGCAAGCCTAGGCATGAAGAAGGACGGATAAGGACTCTAGACTACTCGTACAAGTTTACGCGTTGTTGGTCCGGTCGATAAATCACTGTTTTCTAATTGACAATATCACTACGTTATAAACTAATAAGGCATAAAGTCAAAAGTTCTAATAATTCATAAGTATACTGTTTTCGTTTCAAACTTTAATTCATT